AAATCTTTATTATATTTTGTAAAGTAATATATGGTAAAGGGCCGTAAAAATGAATGTAAAAAATGGTAGAGAGTGGGATGTTTCAGAGAAATAATACACGTGACCCCGGAAATCTGTTGGAAGTTACATACGTAACCCTGCCTTGGCCGATGATCAAATGTATTTCAACTCCTAGTCACGGAAGGGAAATAAAAATGGGCCAGATACTAAGTTCGAGATAGGGGAAAAAAGATAAAATATCACCCAGTTAAATTGAGGGATGCTGGAAAAATTACGCTCTAATAATGTTAAAGAGAAAAGATATCTCACCATGTTAAATTGGGGAGAAAAAAAAAAATCGGTCCAGAACCCCCAAAATCGTTCTACTAATAACATGTTTATTATCCAAAGAGTTTCCAACCTTAATTTGAGGAAATATGCTAATTAATTCTTAATTTAAATATTTGGATTTTTAATTATTTGAATTATAGTTTTTTAGATTATGTAAATATAGTTTAGAACCTGTAATGGGGACAAATTACCCAGAAAATACAATCAACGTAAGATCGAAAATTTGTTATAAATACACGAGAATTTTTTTCATGCAAACCATATCAATCATCTTTTTCACATGATTTTTTCAAAGTTATCTACCAATGGTAGTGAATTATTAGCTAAAACGTTTGAAAAACGAAATCAATGTCTCACTATTAACATTGTAATCCGAAAAAACAATTAATACAAAAGATATAATTCTGATATTATATATTAGAATTCATATAAATCTATTTTATAAACAATATTATTTTAAATATACTGTATGACCTTTGCTCAAGACGAAAGAGGCCATTCCGAGGTCACGGAAATTTTCAGCAAGGGCTTCAATGATCTACACGCAACTTACGTTGTTTGATGAATGTCGTATGTCCTCTTTGACCTTCAACTTCTATTTTTGTTCAACTTTTTTTTTAGAAAAATAAATACTTTTTAACTATATGAAACTACAGTTTATAGTCACCATGAAAATTATAATACTTTGAAAATAGAGTATTGCTTATTAAAATACAAAATAAAGTCATTATAACTAATAATTACAGACATTTGGAAACTGAATATAATGAGTAAAAAATCATTCTACAGAACATGAAAGTAAATGATGATGATAGATATTTTTATGGTTGTAATGACAAACAAGGCAAATGTTAAAAAATTAAATATTTAATTTGACTGAGTTATGGGAGATAAAATCTGAGGCAACACTTGTGAACTAAAAAAGTAATGGATTCATTAAAAGGTAAAGAAATTTATTGTTTTAAGGATTTGATTGGCAAATTTTTTTATTCAGGTAAAGTAAAGTTTGAAGACACCAAATAATGACAGGAATAGTTGAACAAATTTATTAGGTGCTTTCAACTAAAAGAGAATTTTTGAAAAGGTGGATTTTAGAAGTCAAGATGAAAAATATATTCTACAGTATGTTTAAAGATTTTGAAAAGCTACATAAACTTTAATCAATTTCTTTTGAAAACATTATAATTTCTGAGTTAATTGACTGCTTACAATTGTCAGTTTTACTTTTTCATATCAATATTAAATAGCAAAATTAACATATAGCGATGTTTAATAGTATTATAAAAGCTCGCTTAATTAATAATGCTTGTTGTATTAATAAATAATTTGCTTAATGAATATTAATTAAAAACAATTGTATATAAATAGTAAATAGAAAATGGACATTTTACTTTAATTTCTGATTTAATTCCAATTTGTTAGAAAAAGTTTAAAAAACTTTAGCTTCTTTCAAAATATACTTTGTTATATAAATCTTATTGGAATTATGGTTTATATATATCAGATATAGCTGAAATTGCTGAATTTTACCAGAGTTTGAAATTTTAAATGATGAATTCTAGTTATTATTATTATAGAAATATATAAAAAAGTTTTAAAAGTGATTAATAAAATGATATCCTATATATATATATTGGTTAAAACTGAAATTATAAATGATTTAATAAATCAATATTATAATTTATAGAAGAATAAATGATATCAAAATAAATATATATTATTGATCTTTTCTTTGCTATTATTAAAGTATTAATAGATTTCTTTAATCCCAAATTCTATACAACTTTATAAAAAAAAAGAATTTTCGGAAATTAGTAAATATTCGGGATTTCAGGTGACATAAGAAATTGAAAATATGCATTATTCTGTAGCAGCACAGAAATCATATAATTCCATTATTTATATAAATCAATGCACTGTTTTGAGTATATTATATAAAGTATTGCACTTATAATATATAAAACAGCACACATTTTATTTTAATTTTCTTTTGTTTATTAACTATTTTCCTTTCAAGTTTTTAATTCAGCTGATTGGTAATATTCTCTTATTATATATAATATATATTTTTGATTTTAGAAGTAATTCTACAAAATAAAAAAAAAAAATAATTAATACATTTATTAGATCAAACATATTTTCATTATCTAAGTTCATTTCACTAAAGAAATGTCCTCAAGAAAGCGACACGAACAACATTCGTGTATTATCGGAACATGGCACGCAACATATAGCGTGCCGTGTCATATTTAAAAATATTATTTAAAATCTTCAGAAATCTGCCTTTCTTAAAAACAAGAAAAAGAAATGTTAAAATGTTTCTTTGATTCAAGCGAAAAGATGATTTTCCTATGCAGTACCTATAGTATAGTAAGCTCAAGTTCATCCAAATTTTCAAAAAGTAGAGCAATTTAAAAGAAATTTAGTAATATATGTTTTTTTTAATGCAACTGAAGACCAATACAGTAAGTCTGAATTTATAAAAAAGAAGTCAGATGCTTTACAAAAAACGGAAGAGAAATCCCGATACTTTATAAAAAGAAGTCCCAGCATGTTATAAAAAAGGCTGGTCTTAAAAACTGGTCCATAAAAAAAAGAATTTATGAAGATAAATAAAATGAAAAATTAGTAGGAAAATTGAAACTAAATTTTCTCCAATTTCAGTGATTAATGCCAGAGAATTTCAGGTATGATTTTCATTTAGATGAGTTGGTAGAAAGAATGGAAAAGAGGGATTGATTTTATAACAGATTGGAACAGTGATCATCGGACACAAGCCACGTGAATGGGCTGTGTACTGGCTGTGTTAGGTTCTATTTCTTTTTTTTCTTATAATTCTTTAAATTTATTTTTTTCTTTTTTTTCTTATAATTCTTTATATTTTTTATTTTATTTCTTTAAATTCTTTATTTTTTTTTATTCTTTTTTCTTTCTTTTATTTTTTTTATTTCTTCTTGACGTAACACTTTTTTTTATTACACTCCACCGAGCCTATAGAAACCCTATAAAAAAACGTAGCACTATAATAGTGCACCTCTTCCTTAAAATGGGCCGGTCACGCTAGTGGAAGTAATTAAAGTATAAAACGGCCGAACTTATCTCGTTCTTACAGGAACAAGACATGGAATTTGACGAAGACTTGAAAATAATTCGTAAGCAAAAGGTTTATTGCCGTGACTTTCCCAAGGCAACCGAAAAAAAGCTTGAAAATGCCAGGTAGTTCTACATCAAGTCTCACGGACTTTGCCAAGGAATGCAAGGAGAAAAAGTTGAAGTCGTTTTCGTTCGAGATATTAGGGAAATATGGCCTTTACTCCGAATATACAGTTATTATTTCACCTACAAACACGCGAAATTCAAGAAGATAATAAGCATTTTGAACTATGTATTGCGGATATAAACATAAGGCTTAAGAGTTGTGGGACATCGGTGTAAAGAGTACTCTATTCCTATTTTGGGCGAGAGCTCCGAACGTTGTGTAAGAGTGTGAGGAATGTTTTGGTTCAAAGAGAATTCTAGAAATTGGACCAGCGTGAACGAAAAAATTGATGATTTTATTCAAGAAATACAATTAAAAATTAATAGCTCAAGAGATATTAAATTTAAACGATCTAGTTTAACGATAGGCAAAATTTAAAATATTTATATAACTTACAAAATATCAACCTATGAATTACATAATGTAAATTTAATTTTTTTTCAAAAAAAAATATATATATAATTAATGTAATAATATATTTATATTAAATAGGTTGGACGATACTCAATTAGTAATAATTATGTCGTAAAATATATGGAAGAGGGCCAGGATAGAGTTATAGTTCGAAACAAAATGAAGGGACGATCACGTAAATAGTCCGCAATCACTAGCATAGAAACGGTTTCTCTAGGGATCAAAGTTTTGTATCACGGACACGTCTTGAACTTTGTTGCGTGGTATGTCACGCTATAATTGTAATAATAAAAATTTCTTGGCAAAAATCGTTGACAATGTTAACGATCAGAATCAATGATTTTTTTTTATTTTGAATACAAGTATACAAGTACATAATCGCTCGAAAATGAACTCGATTAGGCAAGAAAATGCTAAATTCATGGCCAAAATTATGGGCTTAAGGCTGAGAAAATGAAGTTGAGACGGACTATGGAGGAGCTGGAGCAAATAAAGTAGATATCACTAAACCATAAGTCCGAAAATGCTGAGCTTAGGGTAGAATCACGAAATTGACTCAGAAGGAGTTACAAAATGATAACTCTCCTAGCAGCAGTTCATCTAACATCAATTCGGTTGCAGAGGACCGTCGCAAATCATTGGAGGATTACTGATAAGGATGGATGTTTTTTTTGGAATGAAAAATATTATGAGATTAGGCAGAGGTTACCGTCAAGAAAGGTAGTCTTCATCATTCAATAATAAGGCGACTGAATTTCAGCCGAAATAGTCATAGGAAGAAAGTTGTAGAAAAAATTGTTCAAATGATATCTGATAGCATTCATAATAATGTAGGGTGATTCTTCGAGGAAAACAGAATCACATAATGAAAATTCGGCTAGGGCTTCCTGCTAAAGTTCTTCTATGCTTTCTTTAGCTGAATTATTTGATAAAGCAACTGATGCTGAATGTAGCGTAATTCGAGCTAACTATTAGGAGATTTTACGCTGTTGTTATTATGGAGAAAGATTTCTTAAAAGTTGAGATACAAAATAGAAAAGGCGCTAAGAGAAAACTAAACGATGAGATCAAAAAACAACTTCTCGATGATCTCTTGAAAAATGCAATAAGATTAGAGAAGAAAGGGCAAGATTTATTTAGTAACATTGGGACGATAAAATTCATCAGGAAAAGACTTATTCAACATCGAAAACTTTCGAGTTGGGACAGCGTCTTTGACAATTACGTGATTTTCGGTGAGTCGGTCGATTTTCGAAAATAGCCTTTTATCTATCAATGTATCATGCATGTTAACTTATCAATGAAAAAAAATGAAGTTCACTTGTTCGGTTATATGATTTTTTTTTAACGTGTATGCATGAATGCAAGTGGAAATTGCATTGAAAAAATAAAAAATTTTTACTACTAACTCGTAAAAATATTATCACAATTCATTGCTTAGTATTATTATGTAAATTTCGACTTGTTGGAAAGACCTTTAATTTTTCTATCTAGACCAATAAAGATCTTTATCTTAATAATTTCGAAAACGCTAGATTACTTTATATTGATGAAAATCTTCATTTAGAATTCTTATTTTGGGTATAAGATTCTGGTTTATTATATACCAATAATGATTTAAACCTAGAAAATTTATTCACTGAACCAGAAGACAATAATATGACTATAGCCAAAGAAAATATGATAATTGCCAGATTGGGTATTTGCTAGTACGCAAACTCGTAACTGAGTTCAGTTAAATTCATGTCTTGTTACGCACCTAGAAATCTGACCGATTTAAAATTAATCTCATATGGGGTTTAAATTTCTTATGACTGTTAAGCAAATATAAATCTAATATATTTATATATTGTTCGAGGTCTTTCTATAGCTTTGTGTTTAAATGCTGATATTAATACCTTCTTTAATAATTGGTAAATATGCGAATCCAAGGTGCTTTAAAAATATTAACATTTACAACTTATCAAAATAATGCTAAGGCTTGGATGCTTATAACAATTTTTTAAGAATGGCTTTGTGTATTTGATCGTTAAAGTTGCATTAAAATGGAGATCAACAGATCAACGTGTTTTGCTGTTACTTGATAATTGTAAAAGTTATAAAATGAAAAGTCTTAACCTTCCACATGTTGAAATTCATTTTTTACCTTTAAATACACATTGAAGATTCAGCTAATGGATGCTGTAATTATCGTGTCATTTAAAGAATACTATCATCATCATATTCGGTAGCTAGTTTGCTTTGTTTATATTTAATTTTACCAAATAATTTATTTTTTATTTAGTTAGTTGTTAGAATGTGTAGAGGCCAAACAAAACATACAGAATCTAAAGATGAATATTTTGCAAGCCATTCAGTATATCATTTCAAGTTGGAATGAAGTTACAGTTGAAATAATCTGTAATTGTTGAAATCATACCGGGAATAACGAATTGATAAATGATGAACCCCTTAATCTTTCTAAATTCTAATGCAATGTGAGTAAATGAATCCCTTAAGAAGATATTACATATGAAACTTTTAGATGACTAAATCATTACAGAACTTGTAGATATTTAATGAAAATACTGATAATAGATAATAGTGATGAGATAGTAATTATAAGCACTAATATAGTATTAAAGAAACTGTGAATATGTTTTTACTTTAGCAGGAAGATACTGATGAATATATCAAATTAGTAGGTAAAATTGAAAAATTTTATTAGAAAAAAACAGATACATATGATGCAGCAGACTACAATTAATCAGTGTTTTAAATAATAATTGTCTTATTACTGTAATAATAATAATTGAATAACAAATAATGGTTTTGACCTATTAATACATAATACAATGTTTCTTTTATAATTTTTAGCGTTTTCGTAATGTTAAATCTTTAAAAAAAAATTTTTTTTATAAATGCATGCTTATATGAGTGCATATAGAGAGGGTTGACTATATAATTTTAAATTCTATAACAATTATATCTACTGGCCTTTATTATTTATACATTTTATTTAATTCTTAAGGGACTGGTTTTTAAAGTGTCTATTAATTTTAATATTTTCTTTAAATTCAGAATTGACAATTATATTAATCTTTTATTCTTTTATAAAAACTATAGCTTTTCTAAAAAAAAGTAACTTTTACATCTTTATATTATAATCTAATTATTCACTAAGTTGTTTTTCAAGATTTATTATTATTATTGACATTTAGACAAACTATTGGATTTTCTGTTATATGATAATATTTCTTTTGGTTTATTTCAATTTGGATTTGCTATTACCAGATGTAATATGCTATGTCCCTTTAAATTATTAATATTTGAAGTAAAATCTTTACATACATCAACATATAGCTATAATAATCACTTTATTTACAAAAGCAGATTGTATTCTTTCTTATCTTCCAATTCGTCTTCCACTGACTCAGAATTAATAGGAGTTTTAGTTGTTTTAGTTACTGTAAAAATTAAAGATATGTTCATTCTCCCTTTGTAACCGATAGTTAATTCTTTCTTTTGCCAATTAACAATAGCATTTACTTTTCTGAGCCAATCATTCCCAAAATTAGGACTTTGTCTTGGAAGTTTAACATGTGTACTGGCGTTTTGATGATCATATGACTGAGGTGAACTGGTAATTCAGTAATTACTCCCAAGGCATGAACTTTAGTTCCATTGGCAGTAACAATAACCATATTTGATGGTTGATTAATTTGATATCCAAGTTGCTTCATCAGAGATTTAGTGATAATACTTGGATATATTTACCATTTTTTGTAAGTAGTTTCAGATTTTTATTTATATAGACACTTTGCTATAAAAATATATCCCAACTTTTCATTTAGGTTCTTGTCAATATATTCTATTATTTAACTGTCACCCAATCGTTTTCGTGTCCGGAAAACTCACCCTTGTCAATGCATTGTAGAAAAATAGGAGGTTAAGCCCAACCTCTAAATCAAGGGATTTTCCTACTTTATCTGCTATGATAATTTTGATTTTTTCATTATTATTAAAGTTAAAAATAAGTTATTATGTTGGATTAATTATTTTGATAAATAGAAATATTTGATATATTTTGTATAGTATTATTAGTGAGATTATTTGATCTTATCCTCTTATTGATAAAAGATTTATTTCTTATATACTCTTACCTTCTTAAAAGTTATATTATTTAGTTTAAATATACAATGAATATTTACTTTAAAAGCATTGAATTACTACTCTAATAATTGTGTAACTCATATATCATAAAGTTGAGAATTAGCATTGGATAATAATACATATATAATTAATTGCAGTTTTAAATTGACAGTAGTACTTTCATACATATTCATGCTAATGCTAAGCTTTTTTTAATGCTTCTTTGAGCATTTGCATGTAAAATTGGAAGATTTTTATCTGGAATAGTATATTAGATGTGATATTATAATTTTTTTTGCTTGATTTAAACTTCTATTAGCATAATAACTACATGTTCCTTTTTATCTTCCTTTATTTGGGAAAGTATAGTATCAAGTCCCAAAAGCATCTATATAAATAACAAATGATTTCTTAAAATCAGAATGACTGAATATAGGGAGCTTTAATAAGTATTTCTTTAGGTCTATCAAAAGCTTGTTATTGTTTTCTTTCCATTTAAAATATTTTTTTTTTTCAATACAAAAATAGCATTTGGTAAATAATGCAAGAAAAATTCTTAATAAATTTATGATAATATAAAAATAGTCCTAAAGCAGCATATAATTAACCAATTTTTTGGAGTTCCATCTCTTTCTACTATATGGCCTAAAAAGTGAATGTTTGGAAGGATAAAGAGACATTTATTTAACTTGATTTTTAGGTTTGCACTTCTAGTACTACTCAAAAACTTGCACTAAATGGTCTATATATTATTCAAAAAGAACTCTGTATTAATTATTATATTATCTAGATAAATGATTACAAAGTCATCTAAAAATTCTTGTAAAATACGATTCATCAATTGTTGAATTGTACCTAAGCATAACTCAAGCATCATATAAAGAAAAAATTTTATATCCTTTAAGTGTTAGTTTATTTTTGATTCGAAAGGTATGTGAACTGTGACCAGAAAATCTTGCAATCATTTTATCAACTGAAATATTAGATGAAGGAATATAATATTTTTGTGATATATCTTTGATATGTGTACTTAGTAGTTCTAATTTTGAAAAAAAGTCTTATTATTTTGATCATCAACTTAAAAGACATTACTAAAAATTTGTAAAGTCTATAACTATATTGTATGGCAACTTGCCAGCATCCACTAGCAAGATCAAGAGTAGTAAACCATTTAGCTTAACCAAAGCTTTATTATGTTAGCTTTAGTTCTCTTATCCCCTTCTTTCTTAACCAAAGCATCCTTGTATTTGCTCTAGTTCTCTTATCTCCTTCTTCCTTAACCAGAGCTTTACTGTATTTACTTTAGTTCTTTTATCTCCTTCTTTCTTGTCTACAATTACCACAGAAGAGGTCCAGCACAGGTACTACAAGATGTACTAATAATTCCATTCTTCTCCATATTTTCTTTAAGAATTCTTTATTTTTAAGGTTAATTCAGTATGGAACTGAGATAGGTGCAGCATTTCCAGTATTAATTCTATGTTTAAGTAAATTGGTATGACCAATTTCAGTTTGACTTTTGCGCAAATATCCTTAGTATGTTTTTCAAGAAGACTTTGGCTTGTTGTTAGTAAGTATCAAGGAGTCCAAGGTTGAAAGGAGTTGTAGCAGTAACAGTGAGGTATACAGCTGGGTTTCTTATTCTTCATTCTTTTCCTTATCAATTTTCTCTGAATCCAGTTTAATTCTATCTTATTTTCTATTATATGTCCTAAAAAGTAGAATATTTGGAAAGGAAAAATGTCATTTCCTTAATTTAATTTTTAAATTTCATTTCTGAGTAAGGCTTCAAAAACTTGTGCCAAATGATCCATCATCCATATGTAACCTTTTTACATTGTTTATATACTAGTCAACCATAAAATCATTCAAAAATTCATGAAAAGCATGATTGAAATGTTCCAGAAGTGTAGCTTAATCCAAAGGGCATTACTAGGAATTCATAAAGACAAAAGTGGTTGCAAGGGTGGTCTTTTTGATGCCTCTTTTGTATATAGCAACTTGCCAGTATTGCTGTAAGTTTGTGTAAAGTCATTATTCAGCAGTATATTGGAGAGTGAATATATGCACTAGTCTAAACCTCGCACCATTGTCTGTGATTTCCATTACCGTTGTTACTATTATTATTATGAGCTTGATACCAAACTTCTATAAAAATAAAGACGCCTTCTGATTGATCACTAGAGATAAAGTGGAATACCAATTCCAGAAATTGTCAAATTGAGGTGTATTTGGTAGGTAACAAATATGGTAAGAAGGATCTTGGTGATAAAAACAAATTTGTTGAATATTATTATTTAAATGTTTATAGCAGTAATCATAATGTTTCTGGCAGAAGGTAAATTGTTATTATCAATTGCATCAGTGTCACGCGATAGTAACAGAATAATATATTAAATAGAGTATAAATTTGTGTTCTAAAATCTATTTCTGTATTAGTTTAGATTCAGAACCATTCTTTTCTATGTCTGTTTTTGTTTTTTTGGTTCGGGTGAGACCTCCCTCAGGGTTGTCTCGCCATTTTTATTTTGGACACCATAAGTAGCATTGTCTTGTTCAGGCGGTTTGGCTGACAGTTTTACCTGATTTACATCATGTCTCTTTTATTTGTATTTTAAAAAACAAAAGTGAATGAAGTGAACGAAACTACAGTAAAATTTACATGGAAACTTATAAAATGTTCTAAAATCTTTATTGTAGTATATTATTCCATGTTTTATTAATTCATCATATAGATAGTTTTTAGTTTTATTTTTTATTTCCCCGTTTTTTCTTTTACTTTGGTTCGGGCAGTTGCACCCTTTGGTATGCTTGCCATTTTTGTTTCTTACAACCAAGGTGATGCCACCATTATCGCGGTTTGGTTTACAGTTTGTTTGAATTACTTTCGTCTAGTGTATAGTTTCTATGTAATTCGTAGATTTGTAGTGTAACCTAGTTCATGTTGAAAATAAAAATATAAATATAAATTTGTGTTCTAAAATCTAAATTCAGGCTCCAACTCTTTTGCTGCTTTGTCCAGCATGTCTATATATACCAATTTTTCTATGCGTATAACTTAGAGTCCGTCATGCCTGCCACAGCCACCTGTAGAAGCCCTGCCACTTGTAAAAGCCCACCATAGCCACTACTTCTTGTAATTTACACTAAATACTATATACTATCAAAATGTAAGTTATATAAAGTGTAAGTTATACTTACACCATCAATACACTGAACATTTTGATTATGTCAGCTATATGCTAAATTTTTGCCAAATTTTACATGTACACTATTCAAAGCTGATCTGCATAACAAATGTTGTACATGGGAACTTGCTCCTTCAAATTTCATAATATGGGCAAGAAGGATCTTGGTGATAAAAACAGATTTGTTGAATATTATTATTTAAACATCTATGCCAGCAATTGTATGTTTCATTTTATGAGAAATATAAGTTTATATCCTATCTGTCATACAACATAAAGTGGCTTAGTAAATTTGAAACTTCAAGGTATTGAAGGTATGGAAAATAGGTCATGCTTGAGTAGCATTCCTATTTGTGCCACTTTACACTTTCACATTATTCATTATCATATATTATTAAGAGCTAAATATCGTATATTTTTTATGATGGGATAAATATAGGTGAACTTAGGGTTTCCTTCCTCTTTATAATTATATTCTCTTTCATTGTAATAATGGGTTGTATTATTGTGTTTGTTTCTGGCAGAAGGAACCAAATTGTTACTATCGATTTGCATCAGCGTCACGTGATAGTAATGAATAATGAATAGAGTAGAAATTTGCGTTCTAAAATCTAAATTCAGGTTTCAACTCTTTTACTGCTTCGTCCAGCACGTAATTCTTCTATGCGTACTGCCACAGCCACCTGTAAAAGCCCCACCACTCGTAGGAGTCCCGCCACGGCCACTACTTCTTGCAATTTACACTAAGATATAAAGTTATACGAAGTGTATAAGCTATACTTACACCATCAATGTGCCGATCATTTTGATTATGTCAGCTGTATGCCGAATTTTTGAATACACACTTTTCAAGGCTGATCTGCGTAACAAACGTCGAAAATGTGAGCTTTCTCCTTCAATTTCATGATATAAATAATAAAATTTTATATATATCTCTCAGCTTCATCTTGGAATAATAATTTGGATAACTTTTGGATATTTAAGTATACAGAAAATAAGGTCAAATTTTCTATTATAAATAACAGGTGCCCTTTTTCTAAGGGGGTGATCATCGGTGACTGAAATTATGACGATCGACCAGCATTAAAAAATATAGTGCCGGAAAAATTGATAATTCTGGCCAACAGTGATGATCATCCCCGGTGATTTAAAGCCTATAAAAATGAAATGTGTTATATATGTGTTCATGTGTAAAAAACGTTTAAAAAAGCACCATTTTGTCCGATTATGTCTTATTACAAAAAAAAATAAACAAAATGGTGATTTTTTAGACATTTATTACACAACATGAGCACAAATATTAAACAAATTTAACTCATTTCGTTTTTATAAGGGTGTGTTTTCTTATTTTCAGAAGAGTTAATTGGAAAGAATTCATCCAAGATTGTGATAAGGCATATAAAATTTAATATAAGTTTAATAGAGGTTTTAATTTGAATCATATCTGATATGAATGTCACGAAAGTTTTTTTGGTCGTCATACATGTCATACATGTCACTCATGTCGAATGGCACCAAAATATTTGTCATGTGACACAGGAAAATATTTTTAAAGTGTTTATTTATCCCTTACTTGGTATTATTTTTTTTTAAAAACGAAAAATCTTAATTTAGAATTTATTTATTTACAATGAATATCTCAAAATTGTTATTTGTTTATAATGACGTAACCAATAGAAAAAACACTACTAATCTTACTATTGTTTGATAATTACTATTGTTCGATTTATAAATATATTGTTGTTAAAATTAAATTCTATTAACAGTTTATAAAAATAAAAATATAATCTCTTGTCAAAATTAAAAGATTCTAAGTTTTATCCAATTAATTAAAAGGTATAAAAAAAAAAATTTCCTGGGTTGCCGGATATCCGGTCACCGGGTGGAAAATAACGAGAGAAAAAAAAAAAAAATGCTTTTCTCCGGTCAAAAGTTTAATAAATTTTTTTTTTAGAAATAAAGTTATTATTTACTTGCTAAACCTTTCAAAACTGCAAGATTTTCGTTTTGATGAACATGCTTAATGTGCTAATCCTGATTTTTCGTGCTGAAAAAAAATACTTTAAGTTTAAAAACACTTTAGAATTGAAGATATTGCGATAAAGCAAATAATGATGTACGGTGATCATCAAAACAATAATGCAATAGTAAATGAATAATTGATCGAATGGGTAAAAAGAATTTAATGTTTTTTTTTTATTAGAATAAAGATGAACTTCTAAAAATCCAAAAGAATTCTTGATTCTCGTATTATTCTATCAACTATTTTTACTTTTGCGCAATTTAAATTGCGTGTTGCATTAAAAATTCTAGTTACGGTAGCAATTTCGAATTTTGAATTGCGTTACACTAAAATTCTTGTTATCGCATAACATTATGACGCAATTACGTTACAATAATTGATCAGTTCACAAAATTTGACGTCACATCTGTTCCACCATTTATAGAACTGTATGTAAATCCCGCATGTAGCGGAAAACTGGAAAACGTATTTTTTTACTTTTACAGGGTTTAACTTTAGTTTCCAAAATTGGAATACATTATATATTTCTTGTAAGAATAAAATTTTTATTATTGAAAAAATACTCTTATAATAATAATAATAAACAGATGGTTGGTTTATCAAAATTTATTTAAATAAATTCTTTTTCAACGTATTGTGTGCCTGAAATGTAAAAAATAAATGCTTTTAATTACACATATATTATATATATAAAAAAATATTTTTTTTTGTATAGTTACCCGTGATTTTTCTTGAAGCAGTCCTTGTTCTGACCATCCATTGACCGTTCGGCATAGATAGATAAAAATTCGAATAACCGGGATCTGATCGACCTCCAGCGGTTCCTATCGTTTTAGGATACACTCGTTGATCAGGTTTAACCCCATCAAACTGTTGATAATATTTTTCCCTAATTTCTCTACTTGATAGGAAACATTCTTCATTATTAGCTAAAGGTGAATTCTGATTATTTTTTAAAATATTTTTAAAAAATTGTAAGGATTTCCGAGTAGAAGGATTTCTTTTAAAAAATTTATTATGATTAAAATCATCTTCATTTTGTTCTTCTATTATAACATCAGTATTAGCACTAAATGAAAATTTAGAAGAAATTGAAGAACGTCTTGAAAGGTCATTATCATAAGATTTTTTACTATGTATAGAACCCCTCCTACTTAAGTCACTAACATGTCTTTTTAATGAATTATGAGTTTGATCGGGATTTTTATCATTTGAGGAAGTAGAAGATTGACCCAAAGAAAATATTGAACGACGGAATTTTCTTTTAACACTCCTTGTTGACTTGAAACTTGCGTTATCATTCATTAAATTACCGGAAGGTAAAAGACTTTCAGCTACATTAATAGTTTCACCGAAATTAATTATTTCTTCAGCAATTTTTCTTGATTCAAGATTAGTATCTTCTTGAATATTCTCTTGAATATCATCCGTAATATCATTTTTTACATTTTTTACATGCTCTATATCAATATCCATCGTAGCATTATTCGTCGCGACGTTATTTTCAATTTTCGTCGAGGTATTATTCTTCACGGTATTTTTTCCAATATTCTTATTCTTCACGGTATATTTTTCAATATTTTTCACGGTATTTTTATCAATATTATTATTCACAGTATTTTTGTCAATATTCTTTACGGTACTTTTTTCAATATTCTTTACGGTATTTTTTTCAATATTCTTTACGGTACTTTTTTCAATATTCTTTACGGTATTTTTTTCAATATTCTTTATATTCTTCACGGTATTTTTTTCAATATTCTTCACGGTATTTTTTCCTATATTCTTCATGGCATTGTTTTCTATGGCAACAGTGGTAGCAGTAGATGATTCAGCGACTATTGTTTCTTTATCTGTTGTAACTTTAGTTGATCCTTTTGTGAAGGTATCATTTAGATGAGAAGATCTTTTTTTGAATTCTTCTTCTCTCATTACCTCGTTTATTACTTCGTTTACTACTCTGTTTATTAATTGACGGTCTACTTTTGGAGCGGATTCCTTGGTATCATTAATAGATTCTCCGGAATTCTCATCTTGATTAATTTCTACGCCTATCGTTTCTACTAGATTCATAAGATGACCAATAATTGCATCATCCCAGACATCGTAATTTTTATCATCTTTAGGAGTAGAAACATTATTATTATTATCACTATTATTAACAGTATCAGTAATAATAGGGGTAGATAAAGAAGGTTTAGATTTTTTCGATTTAGATGGTTTACTATAAAGTAAAAAATTAATATTTTCTCTTATTGTAGTATAAATAGAAGAATTTTCTTTTTGTTTTAATTTATCTTGAAGTACTTTTAAAGGAAGGTCATCTTCTTCTAATTTTTCTTGAATTTGAGAAAGTGGCAAATGATCCTGAGTGTGACGATTCATAACCATTTGACGATATATTTTACGTAATAAAACTTTTTCCGTTAATTCTTGTAATTTTCGTTCTCTTAATAACGATATATCTTGAGGTTGTTCCACTTCATCAGAATGTTCCGTTTCCGTTGCAAAAAAATCAAAATTTTTGGCGTTAAAATTAAAAAAGTTTTCTTGTAAATTTTCTTCATTTGTAGTAGTATTAGGTTTAATGTTAGAAGCTAAATAAGATGCAAAAAATCGCAACATTTTTCTTTTTTTTGAATTTTTTATATTTTTTGTATTTTTAATAAAAAAAAGAGACTGCCGGCAGTATATAATTTTTTCTTTTTGTATTTTAATATTTACAAATATTTTTGTCCGATTTTAAAGAAAAAAAAAAAATACTTTATATTACTTATAAACTGAGTGACGTATTATAAATATATTTTTTTTTATAAAAAGAAAAGGAAGAAGAAAAAAAAAAAAA